TAGATAGATAGATAGATAGATAGATAGATAGATAGATAGATAGATAGATAGATAGATAGATAGATCGATAAGAAAATTTAGCAGAATTCTCAGAAAGCATTACGAATCATTCCTTCTCAGTCTTTCCTTGCACTGCCTCATCAGCACGGTCTTTTCTTCTTAGAGATTGTTTTAACTTTTAGTTTCGCTGAGCCTATGGATGATCACCATGTGTGTACAGGTGCTCCAGACCAGAAAGGGTCATCTGATCCCCAGGATTGGAGTCCCAGGTGGCTGTGAACTCCTTGATGTGGCTGTGGGAATTTAAATGGGCTCCTCTGCAAATGCAGCAAGCGCTCGTAACTGCTAAGCTATTTCTGCAGCCCCTCAATATAGTACTTTAATTCAAGTACCCTCAATATATTTTCTAACTATCACAGATATTAATTAATATGGTTGTCTGTCCTAAATAAATTGCTGATTTTATGATTATACACATAATATTTTTAAAAAAACTTAAACTTGGGAAGGAGCGCTAATTGTAGACTACTTCTTAAAATGGTTTTGAAAATGGGAAAACATCAATCTTAAGCCTCTTTTACAGTGAAACTTTCATTAACAGTGAAGCGATTATGGATCTGAGACAGGAAGCTTGATTTAGTAATATCAAGTTCACAAAGTCAACAGAATACTGCAAAACAAAGTAGAAGCCTGCTAGGGTGTTCAAAGTCGCACGAGTAAAGAAGGGCTGTGGAATACGAGAGAGTTGAGGGAAGAGAGACAACTATCAAAGCTTTATGAAACGCTCAGAAAAACCAACGAAGTATAAGCATACAACAATGTAACGGACGCCTGGCTGTACACCGGGAGGTAAGGGGGGTAGCAAGCACGACGCCAGAGACACGCCAGCCTCACCACGCACAGCCGCCCCACTCGGGTATAGATGGTGTGGGCATTGTTCTCCGCCTCCAACGCCTTCTCCGTAAAAAAGAAGTACATTTTGTTGTCATCACGGTCTTCGTTATCAGGAATCATGTACGAGCCTACAAATTTCGGTTCTAGAGACAGAACGTAAATGAAAAAGTGTAAAAAAGTTAGACATGTAATGGTACAATAATAAAGCCACCCTGGCCAGTTATTTATCACCTGATTGTCAAGGTTTCATTGGTTTGTGAGAAAATACACTTTCTTGAAAGTTTTAGATGATTACCGAAAAGTAGACAATTATCCTCCTTTTATGTGCAAATCAATAGACATTTTAAAACATAATTTAAATAGAAAATATAAGGGTCATGGATGCAGAAAACACGGACAGAGTATTGAAACAAAATGTATTTAGTGAAGGTACAAGCTGGAGGCATTATGAAAACAATCTATGAATTTCTTCTCATTCTATATGAAATGGATGTACATGCAAGCTCCATATTAAAAGCATATTGTTACTTATTTTTTACTTCATACATAACCTCTCACTAAGCATCATGGAAGATCATTTATTTTTAAAGTAAGAAATTTAAGCTTTTGCGTTTATAGTTGAAGAATCTGGGTAGGTGGCATTTTGATGATAATATGTATGCGTGCTGAAGCTTAATCGTGGAATGCTGGGAATTATGAAAATGCTCACTATAACTCAGCATTTTCACCCCTCCATATATCAGTATGTGACAAAATGTTAAAATATACACTCATATATATGTAAGTTTTATGATTTCATATGTAAGTTTATATGTAATAAAATATATCATATACACATATAATTTATATATCATAGTTAATATATTTAAATAAATAAATTTAATAAATTTAGGTTAGGGAATGGCTAGTGACCCTTCTAAAGTTTTATTTGTCTCTAAAATGCAGCATGATTCTATTAATGCAAATAGGGCTAACAATCACTGTAGCAGCAGTGATATAAACTGACAGGCAAAAGCTATGAGTGTTTACTTTCCACATATACGACTTGTTTTGCGCCTCTGTTTTTATTGTCAGAATGGCAGACCTGGCCATGGACCTTAGACTACCTTTCCTCCAAACCCTTGTCTTCTACCTTGTCTTCTCTCCTACCTTTGAGCAGCCGTTCATCGTCATGCTCTGTGCGAATATGGCCCAGCTTCCCCATGCTGCGGAAGATCGCTGAGTCTCTGCCCCAGTAGTCACTGTAGAGGCCAGCAAACAGTTCGCTACCTGCACAGGTACATCAGAGAAAAAGTAAGTTCGTGTCCGCCTCTCAATCAGAAGTTGCGGTAGAAGCCGCTGTTGCGTCAGAAACACTAGATTTACACGCATTCGACTTGAGGCCATCAACACGATTGCCAAGGGCAGGAGCGAAGCAACCACAGAGCAGTGTGTCAAGCCGTGCTTGCCTCTCAGCTGTGAATTCCGTGCATCATTTTCACTCTGAGCGAGGAAAGGAGCAGCACTCGGAGTTATTAGGAGGAAAGCACTGGGGGACACTGGTGAATGTGGAGAAATGTTTGGTGACACAGCCTGGGTTCATCTTATTAGAGCAAACGTCTTTCAACCTTGGTATCAACTGTTTTATCATTATAGCTGTATCAGTATTACTTGATGTTCCGTAAACGCAAGCGGTTCTAAAGTCAATTTTTTTTTTTTTTTGGGCCTTTAGTCTGAATTTACCACGGGGAGTACAAAGTCTGTCAAAGTCGAGTCTCCAGTTGTCTAACGTGTAAGTTTATAGCTGAATCAGAGGAGAATGGGGGAAAGAGTTCAAGACCTATGTGGAGTCAGCAGAATGATGACTGACCGACCTTAGCTTCCACGGAGAAGCCGAAGACATAAAAACAGGTTCTGAGATTATTCAAATTTACAGTGTGTTTTTAGGGAAAGAAATAAAGACATTAACAGTAGCTTAGGAGGAGAGGACACAATTCTTTTCATAACAAATGGAAATCGTGAGGGCATGGTCTGAACCTCAGAAATGTTATCATTAGGAGGCATGGGCACTGGGAATGTCCTTCCATCCCATAACCACAGAGTGTAATCCCTGTGCAGCACTCGTCCCAGAAGCCTGGCCTGGGCACGCCTAGCCTTGCTGTCCTGTTCTGTCCCCAGATGAATGTCTCTAACAGAGAAGCAAATGTCACCACACCTCTCTTGGGGCAGGAACTTCAATTAGAACTGTTAAATCAGTTTCCGGCTGTGTACCCAGAATTCTAGCAGGATTTGAAATAAGTGCAGAGATGGTTGGTTATGTTTGAAAAAATACATTATTGATTTTTTTTATTTTGGTGTTTACATGTTATATACACATATACACTTACATACAATATATGTGCGAGTGTGTGTTCACATGGGTTAGGCTGCAAGTGTGTTTGCCCGTATGTAGAAGTCAGAAGTCAAATTTGAGTGGTATTCCCCATATACCTTCTTTTCTTTTCTATCATCATCATCATCATTACTGGAGACCAGTTATCCTCCTCCTCCTCCTCCTCATCATCATCACTGGAGACCAGTTCTCTCACTGGGACTTGGGCTCACTGATTCAGCAAGGCTGAGTGGCCAGTGAGACGTACTTCCTGCTGTGCTTTCTTGGCACCTGAATTAAAGAGCGTGCCATGCTGGGCTATTCAGACACTGAGGACCAAAATCAGGTCCTCATACTTGCGTGGAAGCACTTTGCTAATTCTGCCATCTTCACAGCCCCTACTGATGCTTTTCAGAATCGTGAAAATGTTGTTCATGTGCACAGTTGTGATTTAAAATACTTCAAAGTTTAAGAAAATGCACAAAATCATATTTATAATTTAATGCAGCAATTTATACTATGTTTTGAAATTAAGACTAATAATGCTACCACTAAAAATTTGATAAAAAATATACACTCAATTTAAGAAAACTGGAGATATTGTTTGCAAACTTATGCTATTTGTTTCAGAAATTCTGAAGTTTTTAAACTAACATAAAATCTTTAAAACTTTTTTCTTTTCATCATCGTTATTATTTACAGTGTATTCACTTTGTATGCCAGTTGTAGCCCCCTTCCTAGTCTCCTCCCTGTCCCACACTTCATCCCTCTTCCTCCCCTATCCCTCTCCCCTAGTCCACTGATAGGGGAAGTCCTCCTCTCCTACTGTCTGCCCCAAGTCTATCAGGTCCCATCAGGACCTCTTCCTCTGTAGGCTGGCTAGGTCACCCCACCAGGGAAAAGTGATTCAGGAGCAGGAAACCGAGTTTATGTCAGAGACTGTCTCTTCTCCCCTTGCTAAGGAACCCACAAGGAGACTGAGCTTTCTACGGGCGACATCTGAGCAGGGGTCCAGGTCCTCTCCATGCATGGTCTCTGGCATGCACTGATACATCGGTCTCTGCTGTCCCCCACAGGACCAGCGGTTTTTGGCTTTGTTGGTCTCCCTGTGGATGCAGGAAGGGCACACAGGACTTCTCTTGAGATTATACTTTTTCATAAAGCAAGCAAGAAAGGAAAAACAAATGAACAGAGTGTTCACAACCGTCAAATCAGAGTGAAAAATGTCGTGCCTCCTCTCACCCTTGGATTTATGTTGAACTTCTCAACAGAGCAAGTTTAGACAAGGAAAGAGGCTGTTGTATTTATGTCATGCATTAACATATGCAAAATGAGAGGTGTGATAATAGAAAATAAAATAAAGGTACAGAATCTATGTTAAAATATGACTTGATAACGTTTATCAGGAATTATTTACACATATCTATGTATGGAGGAAAGAAGATTTTTGAAACAAAAAAAATTAGACACATAAATCATTTCCTGAGATTCTGTCTACATTATTTAAAAAGATTTAAGAATCATTAATTCTCTTGCAAAAATGGACGGGTTGGCTCATAAAAAGTAATCAAAATAGTTTTGTCCTCACATACTATAATTGAATTTTACATAGAAAATATAAAGGCCATCTTTTTAAAACATATTTTTACGAAGAGTTGGTCTTTAAAATATAATGATTATTTTCCTTTCCTTCAGTTTTAAGGATTAGATTTGCTTTAGTTGACCAAGGATTTCAATAATTATTATTATGGAAATACAATCTTTTACTCCTATCCAAAAATCTTGCTTCAATTATTCCTATTTCGAATGATGCTTCAAAGTTCAGCCTGTCTTGATCAAAGCCAAACAATGAACATATCAGCCAGTAGATGGCAGCACGATGATAGCAGATAGCGTCTTGGGTTGGCAGGGTGTCTGCTCTCAGATGTCATGTTTTCATTCTTACTCAGTTTCTCTTTTTGTAGCCAGATGAAAGAAAATACTTCATGAAAAATTTAAATAACTAAATATAAACGTTGTGATTTAAACGTGAAAGGAGCTAGCCAGGTCCTAAGCAAGCTAGGGAAACAACCAACTGTGTTTCGGTTGGCTTGTTAGCCGATACTCAGAAGGAAAAGCTCCTGCTTTTATGAATTATTATCTTTGTGAAAAATACCGAAACAAAAAAAATCGAGCTATAATACACAGGTACTGTGTTTGGCAAACCACTTCCCAAAGAAAACTAAAAGGAAGATAAATCCATTAACGATAAATATAAATAAACTTATGTACAATTAATACATAATTGTAACTAAATATGTAAAACTATGCCATGTCATACTAAAAATGCATTTTAAAGAAAATGAATATTTTTAAGGTTTATTTATTTATTTATTTATTTGTTTGTTTGTTTGTTTATTTATTTATTACGTACCCAGTACTCTGCCTGCATGCCAGGAGAGGGCACCAGATCTCATTATAGATGGTTATGAGCTACCATGTGGTTGCTAGAACTTGAACTCAGGACCTTTGGAAGACCATTCAGTGCTCTTAACCTCTGAGCCATCTCTCCAGCCTCCAATAAATATTTTCTTTAAAAAAATACTTCTTAAAATTATTAATATTTGGCATCATTAAAATTTTGAGTCAATTATTTTGCTAATTTCTAGAAGGAAACAACAAATAACAACTAGGTAACTCTTATTTTTCTTATTTAAAAAATAGATTTTCAAATGGTGTAAAATCTGTTTTAGAGTTTCAGTAGTAAGGAACATACAAGGAAAAAAGAAAAGACAATTATTCTACGTCATAAAAAAACAAATCCACTGTGAGTTATTTTTAAGGTAAAGAAAGCCATAAACACTTTTATCATATTGTCATTTTTGTGATGGAATTCTATTTGTAGGTTTATTTAAACACAATGCACCCTTAGTATTTCAGGAAACTCACCATAAATTTAGTTAATGGATTGAACATCCTATGAAATTTTACTCGTTAGGTGGAAAGGCATATCTTAATAATCTAGCATAAACAACTCACAATAGTTGTTTGCAGCCTTCTCACTTTATTTTACCCAAATGTTTCTCCTATTTATGTTATAAATGTATGATCTAAGATTCATAATAAGGTTAAATGCACTGGCCTTGTGAATAATAAGTCACCATCCATACTAAAAGAACCCACAAAGAATATGATGTCATTAGGTAGTTAGTCTTTTGAGCATTTTGCTTTCTTGTCTTGCCAGTTGACTAACCATAATCATCAATGCTCAGAAGGTGGTTTCTGGGGGCAAAAATGGAAAAGAAAAGTGTGTTCACTTGCTGACACACATGTCTGCAGTTGTATGTTCTTGGTAGCCAACCAGTGACATCAATCATTACAGTCATGGTCAATTGAATTCATGAGGGACACGGTGGAAACAGAAGGTTGGAAAGCAGAGATATTTTAGGGAGGCACTGAGTGTTTTCCTTTTATTAGAGGAAACAATTATGATATAAGCAAAGTATTCAAATAGCTCTTTGGAGACTTGCAGCCATGGCCAGAAGCTGCAGAAAGCATGTTGTCAGTGGGCATTTTGCCAATGTGAGGAAGCAGCAGCCTTGAGTAAGACATTTTTTAGGGATGGCAAAGTGGCATGGGAGTAACTTGAAGTCTCTATGCAGTTGGGTGAATTAAAAAAAGTGAATATTCATTTCTAACTGCTCTTGATATAAATATACTAAATTCAGCAGAAATGATTACTTTTTCTTAAATTTTTTGCAACTAAGAACTTCAAACAATTGCTTGTATTTTCCCAATACGCTCTTCAATTATTTTCTGTTCAATTAACCTTTGTTTCTTGCATAGAGCAGGTAATAGTGTATACTTCTAAATATAACTTTTTAAATAAAAGTTCACAAAAAATTCTGTATTTTTAAACTTTGTAGTTTTTTTTCACTGA